ACGAAAATGCTGAACTTGTGGACATGATTCTTATTTACGCGGCATCACGGATTTATGCGGATCGGTTTCCCAATCGATTGCAACCAACCCCTCGTGCCTTTGTTAATGTAGTACAAAGGGCTCGTGAATCAGGTGACTTAAGACCTCACAGGGGAGGGCACGCCGGTGCTCCAGGACCGCACGATCAAATACAGGTCCGCACTGAAATACTTGTCGGGAGGATACTTTATAAAACAAGGTAAAATTTTTTTTTTAATTTTTTTTTATTTTTACACACATATTTTGGTTTATCTTCCTTCTACAATCATTATCTGAAAACTAATGACTCAACTTCACAGTCACCCTGTATATATATATATATATATATATATATACTAAGTGACATATAAATCCGAACACCCAGTTTAAATGGTTTTATTTTAATAAAATTTTGTATAAGTACTTAATGAAGCATAATAAGTAAATGATAAAAATTTCAAAATGATTGCACTGCTTTAAAGCCCTTTGACCTTTAATAATGTGTGGATGCACCCTGATGTGCTACGCATTCTCCAACGCGCCTAGGCATGCTTCTGAACAGGTGGTCAATGTCCTCCTGTGGTATCTCATTCCAGGCAACCACCAACTTCTCTCGAAGTGCTTCTAGAGTCTGAGGAGGACGTTGCAAATTGAGCAATCTCCTACCCATCATATCCCACACGTGCTCAATTGGGGATAAGTCGGGAGATCTTGGTGGCCATGGTAACAATGTGACATCATTATGTTGAAAGAAGTCTATTGTGACTCTTGAAACATGTGGTCGGGCATTATCTTGTTGGAAAGTTGGATCTGCCAGGGTGTCAAGATAGGGTAAAAGATGGGGTTCTAGAACTTCGTGGATATAACGCTGCGCGTTCATGTTACCTCTGATGAAGATTAAAGGTGACCTGGAACCATAAGCTATAGCACCCCAAACCATAACTGCAACAGTGTGATCAACATACCTTTCAACAAAAAACTGTGGATTCCTCCTTTCACCACGTCGTCTTCTAACCCTGGCACGACCATCGTGCATGCCTAAACAAAATCGAGACTCGCCACTAAAGACAATACTGTTCCATTCCTGATTCCAGAGTGACCGTTGTCTGCACCACTTAAGGAGATTACGTCGGTGTAAGGGTTAGAAGGCGACGTGGTGAAAGGAGGAATCCACAGTTTTTTGTTGAAAGATATGTTCATCACACTGTTGGAGTTATGGTTTGGGGTGCTATAGCTTATGGTTCCAGGTCACCTTTAATCTTCATCAGAGGTAACATGAACGCGCAGCGTTATATCCACGAAGTTCTAGAACCCCATCTTTTACCCTATCTTGACACCTTGGCAGATCCATCTTTCCAACAAGATAATGCCCGACCACATGTTGCAAGAGTCACAATATACTTCTTTCAACATAATGATGTCACATTGTTACCATGGCCACCAAGATCTCCCGACTTATCCCCAATTGAGCACGTGTGGGATATGATGGGTAGGAGATTGCTCAATTTGCAACGTCCTTCTCAGACTCTAGAAGCACTTCGAGAGGAGTTGGTGGTTGCCTGGAATGAGATACCACAGGAGGACATTGACCACCTGATCAGAAGCATGCCTAGGCGCGTTGGAGGATGCGTAGCACATCAGGGTGCATCCACACATTATTAAAGGTCAAAGGGCTTTAAAGCAGTGCAATCATTTTGAAATTTTTATCATTGACTTATTATGTTTCATTAAGTACTTATACAAAATTTTATTAAAATAAAACCATTTAAACTGGGTGTTCGGATTTATATGTCACTTAGTATATATATAACTTGAGACGTGGTTATTGTCGCTGAGACCAGTTAGGTGAAAAATAAAGCTTCCGCCTTTTGTTGGGTACTTCGACAAAATTCAAGCAAAGAGCTTTATACTTTATTAATCTCCAGCTTTCAATGGACTTTGCCATCTTCATCAGGAGAGTTCCCATATACTGTAGCAGGACAATATTACGGAAGCGATTGAAAATACCCTGATCAAGAAGAAACAGGTTTGTGCGGCTTCTAGAGGCGGACATTTGTCTGATATTATTTTTTTTATTTACATAATTTCTAAGTTTCAGTAAAAGATTAAGATGAAAAAAAATGTCTTATTTTATTTCATTTCCCAAATATTCAAGATACAACAAACCAGTCAGTTACATATCAGCCACCCTGTATTATCAAAGTAACTGTTGCATTCCCTCTCCGAAACTAATATCCTTCAAGCCTCCACCCCTTAGAATAGTGTTTCTCCGATTTGCATTAAAATGACTGAACTAATGAGACTCCCATAGCATAGGAGAGGAGACTGATGGTGTTTCGATCCGCTTGTTGTTTCTATACAACTTGGCTTGGGGTCCTGTGTGTTATATACTAGCGAATTTAACACTCATTAAAGATGTAAAGTCAGGGAACAGCAGTAGAGTAGACTTGATTAATTTTAAACGGTTGTTAGGCTAGAATTGTTAGATGATTGGAATGAGAAGCATTTTTATTTATATGTGGATGTTGGCACATTTACATCGGCGCAAAGGTCTCCACTCATCTTAACAATCAGCCGTTTTCGAATCATTTGGTCATTCTTGATGCAAGTAGTGAAAGTGCATGGGATTTAGGTAACCAAATAAGTTCGTACGGTTGCTGTATATCGCTCATTGCCATGGATGTTGTTGATCGATAGCGACTGTTTGTTACCTGTTGTCACTTTAGTACGAATCCTTCTTTTCTCACACACATAAAAAGTTGCTGAACATTGTTACATACCCAGTTTTAATAATTGAAAATGGCGACGAACAAAACAGTAATTTGAGGTTGTTTACTGTATGAGTACAAACTTGGTACAAAAGCTGCAGCGGCGGCGCGAAAAATATGTACCCCATTCGGAGATGACGCCGTTAGTGATCGAATAGCACAGAAGTGGTTAAAAAAATTTTCTTCGGGAGATCTCAATTTGAGCGATGAGCCGCGCTCAGGGAGACCAAAACTCATGAACAACGAGGATCTTGGACAGGTTGTGGATGCAAATTCCAGGACAATGTGCCAATAACTTGCAGAAATGTTCAGAGTGAGTCCTGAAACTATTATACTAAGTGACATATAAATCCGAACACCCAGTTTAAATGGTTTAATTTTAATAAAATTTGGTGAATGTATTTATCTTACCGTAAATAACAAGTGAAAAAATTTTCAGCCTTATCAGTTGGACATTCCGGTTTTTATACTGCTTTTTTTAATTCACTAACGCTCTAAAAATGAATATTTCAGCCGCAGTAAAGAATCAACGTTGGCGGATTTTGGTTCTTGACATCCTTTACGATCGGTTACGATGCCCAGAGTACGGAGACCTGTACGATTTCGTCAACTTAGTGAGTTTGATAGGGGCCGTATAGTGGGACTTCGGGAAGCTGGACTTTCTTTTCGGGAAATTGCAGTTAGAGTGCAAAGAAGTGTAGACACTGTGGTTAGGTGTTGTCAGGCATGGCTTCGAGAAGGCCGTACGCAAAGAGGAAGGAGCACTGGACGCCGGCGTAGAACAACAGACCGTGAAGATCGCCGCCTAAGATTATTGGCCTTAAGGGACCGTTTCTCCACTACCAGGTCCATTGCAAATGAATGGTTTGCAGAACACGGAAGACCTATTGGTATGCGAATTGTTTACCGACGAACGAGAAGTTTTTTTTTTTATACCGGCCACACTGGGTCCTCCCTTTAACCCGAGAACACCGACGTAATCTCCTTGAGTGGTGCAGACAACGGTCACTCTGGGATCAGGAATGGAACAGTATTGTCTTTAGTGACGAGTCTCGATTTTGTTTAGGCATGCACGATGGTCGCGCCAGGGTTAGAAGGCGACGTGGTGAAAGGAGGAATCCACAGTTTTTTGTTGAAAGACATGTTCATCACACTGTTGGAGTTATGGTTTGGGGTGCTATAGCTTATGGTTCCAGGTCACCTTTAATCTTCATCAGAGGTAACATGAACGGCAGCGTTATATCCACGAAGTTCTAGAAACCCATCTTTTAACCTATCTTGACACCCTGGCAGATCGAACTTTCCAACAAGATAATGCCCGACCACATGTTGCAAGAGTCACAATAGACTTCTTTCAACATAATGATGTCACATTGTTACCATGGCCACCAAGATTTCCCGACTTATCCCCAATTGAGCATGTGTGGGATATGATGGGTAGGAGATTGCTCAATTTGCAACGTCCTCCTCAGACTCTAGAAGCACTTCGAGAGGAGTTGGTGGTTGCCTGGAATGAGATACCACAGGAGGACATTGACCACCTGATCAGAAGCATGTCTAGGCGCGTTGGAGAATGCGTAGCACATCAGGATGCATCCACACATTATTATTGGTCAAAGGGCTTTAAAGCAGTGCAATCATTTTGAAATTTTTATCATTTACTTATTATGCTTCATTAAGTACTTATACAAAACTTTATTAAAATAAAACCATTTAAACTGGGTGTTCGGATTTAAATGTCACTTAGTGTAGTTTGACACCATACTTGTGCATTTGATTGGGAATATACTGGCGAAATTTTAATCGACCTCTGAAAGGAACCATTGACTCGTCGATAACCAGAATTCTGCCAGGAGTTAGAACATTTTGAATCTTCCTGTTAAGTACTCCCAATACTGTTCTGATTTTGTACAAGCGGTCGTTAGTATACAAAAATGGGTCTTCGTTGTTGCAAAAATGTGAACATCGAAGGAAAAGTAGAAAGATATCACGTGATATTGCCTTTGCTATGAACTCATTTCTTAACATAGGATCTTTTGACCAGTAGGAATTAACTGACGGAAGCGAGTTAAAACCCATTACTAGAATAACTGAGAAAAAACGCATGAGCTCGTTTTTATCTGTGTCCACCCCAACATGTAACCTGGACCTCGAATTCCTACGTCCTGCTATGCTTTGTTGGGCGAATCTGTTCGTCTCTTCAATAATGATGTGTCAAAGTTCATCTGTCACAAAAAGTTTGTAAGCATCCAGTGGACTTAGAATCTGACTCACGTCCAAATTAAGTTCAGGTGACTCATTACAGATGTTGAAAGGTAACTGCCCTTGAACAATGTCTTGCCAATTATTAGTATAGAGCACAAAAGACGGCATCTTCCCATTTTCATTATCTATGGTGTCACAAGCTTCACTATCATTAGCTGTATCTGAGTCGGAATCATCGGCCTCGGCGGCACTACCTAGATGAAACATAAAAGACAGGAAATTTTAACAGAAACATGCATTTTGTTAGAAATATATGCCTTCGATTGTATCATCAAACAGATTATGTGGATTTTCATCAGAATCTGATGAAGATGGATAATAGTCTTTATCTATGATAGAATCATCACTGCCAAAGTCGGAAAATTCGTCTCCACTTATAACATAACTTGTTCCAGGATTATTTGTTTGTTCTCCGTCGTCTGCTGACTCTGCTTCAACAATTTCAATTTTATTTTCAGGTATATTTGCTTGCGTTCCAGGATTTGTGGGCACTGCTCCAGTATTTTGTAGATCTTTAGTTATTTTCGTAATTTTTTTAACGCGAGAAGAAAACATTTTTGGTGAGGAAACCAAATACACAACTTCAGTCGCTCGCATTCGGTACACAAATGACAGCGAAACAGGATCAGACACGTTTGTTCGTATGATTATATACTAAGTGACATATAAATTCGAACACCTAGTAAATGGTTTTATTTTAATAAAATTTTGTATAAGTACTTAATGAAGCATAATAAGTAAATGATAAGAATTTCAAAATGATTGCACTGCTTTAAAGCCCTTTGACCTTTAATAATGTGTGGATGCACCCTGATGTGCTACGCATTCTCCAACGCGCCTAGGCATGCTTCTGATCAGGTGGTCAATGTCCTCCTGTGGTATCTCATTCCAGGCAATCACCAACTCCTCTCGAAGTGCTTCTAGAGTCTGAGGAGGACGTTGCAAATTGAGCAATCTCCTACCCATCATATCCCACACATGCTCAATTGGAGATAAGTCGGGAGATCTTGGTGGCCATGGTAACAATGTGACATCATTATGTTGAAAGAAGTCTATTGTGACTCTTGCACCCTGTGGTCGGGCATTATCTTGTTGGAAAGTTGGATCTGCCAGGGTGTCAAGATAGGGTAAAAGATGGGGTTCTAGAACTTCGTGGATATAACGCTGCGCGTTCATGTTACCTTTGATGAAGATTAAAGGGGACCTGGAACCATAAGCTATAGCACCCCAAACCATAACTCCAGCAGTGTGATAAACATGTCTTTCAACAAAAAACTGTGGATTCCTCCTTTCACCACGTCGCCTTCTAACCCTGGCACGACCATCGTGCATGCCTAAACAAAATCGAGACTCGTCACTAAAGACAATACTGTTCCATTCCTGATCCCAGAGTGACCGTTGTCTGCACCACTCAAGGCGATTACGTCGGTGTTCTCGAGGGAGGACCCAGTGTGGCCATATGAAAACAAGCCAAAACTTCTCATTCGTCGGTAAACACTTCGCATGCCAATATGTCTTCCGTGTTCTGCAAACCATTCATTTGCAATGGACCTGGTAGTGGAGAAACGGTCCCTTAAGGCCAATAATCTTAGGCGGCGATCTTCACGGTCTGTTGTTCTACGGCGGCGTCCAGTGCCCCTTGCTGTTTGCGTACGGCCTTCTCGAAGCCATGCCTGATAACACCTAAGCACAGTGTCTACACTTCTTTGCACTCTAACTGCAATTGCCCGAAAAGAAGGTCCAGCTTCCCGAAGTCCCACTATACGGCCCCTATCAAACTCACTAAGTTGACGAAATCATACAGGTCTCCCTACTCTAGGCATCGTAACCGATCGTAAAGGATGTCAAGAACCAAAATCCGCCAACGTTGATTCTTTACTGCGGCTGAAATATTCATTTTTAGAGCGTTAGTGAATTAAAAAAAAGCAGTATAAAAACCGGAATGTCCAACTGATAAGGCTGAAAATTTTTTCACTTGTTATTTACAGTAAGATAAATACATTCACCAACTTTTATTAAAATAAAACCATTTAAACTGGGTGTTCGGATTTATATGTCACTTAGTATACATAGGTCTCCGGAGACCTATAACGCTCTCCACTAATTATTTTGATATGTCTGTGCGGTGTAGGTCTCCGAGACCGATATAGTTTTTATACAATTTTCCGTCTCTGCAAGTTCTCACGATCTTATAGCTACATGTTTCGCATTTATAAATTGTATTTTAAGGAAAATATGCATTCCGCACCAAAACGGAAATTTGAAAAACCAGCTCCGCATCAAAATCAAGTTTGATAACGGTCTCGGGAGACCGATATAGCAGTCAACGTGTTAAGAGCTCTTTCTTTCTAGGTCGTGCCAAAATCAAATCTTCCTTATAAGACGTGAAGTACGGAGTGTGATAATCGAAAACAGCAACAGTAAAAAGGACCGAAACAGAGAAAGGGGAGAGAGCGGGAGCAGCGCCAGTGCCAGCGAACGTTCAGTTCCAGAAGTGCGCGCGTGTGATATGACAATAATTACAGACCTCTGCGAGCAGGAAAACGGGAGAGAACGGCAAAGCAGAAAGAAGCCATCTCTTTGTGTGCGTGCGGTGCGGATCTGGCTGTGACAGATCCACCACTACCGCAGAGGGTGCATTTAGGGCGGCATTCCATTTCGCCGCCCCTTACGCACTTTACTTTGCTATACCTACATAGAGAAAGGAATCGCGAGCTGCTTTTGTCACAACTCATAATTAATTTTTGTCTTTGAAAGGTTATGTTGTGTCACTAGAACACACAAGATAACTGCTTATACAGGGTTATCTATTACTCATAATTTTCATAATTTTTGGTCTGTGTCTGTATCTTTTTACACATATCGGTGGTTTAGGATGGGAAGGACATACTGTTTTGATTGCTTTGAAGAAATTACTATTATGATGCAAAGAAAGATGAGGAATTGGTTGGAATACATTTTATATTCTAATTTCTTGCAAAATACAGACAAATCCGCACATTTCAACAGGTATGTAGCTATAATGATAACATGTAAACACTCAGTATGTAGAACTAAGCAAGTTCGAGATTGCATTGCCCCACTTTTTTCGTTATTTTTGTACTAATTTTTCGTTAGGGTCGATAGTTCGATAGTATGATAGTTCGACAGTACGATAGTTCGATAATACGATATTTCGATAGTACGATTGTTTTATTTATTTCGTTGGGTTTGTCCCACTTTTTTACGTTAGATTTGTCCATTTTTTTCGTCAGGACTTTCGCATTTCATTTTGTTAGGTTTGTCTCACTGTTTTTCATTAGGTTTGTCCCATTACACTGATCAACAGCCAAAAAATATCCTAAATAAAATCAAAAAAATATTACTATTTTTAATGTGCTAAAACCGGAATGAGACTTATTTTTTCAATATTAGTTCAAGTTTTAGAGATACGGTAATTATATGTGTTCCTGCTGTGACAGTGTTAATATACTGTAATTCACAAGAATGCACGTGCTACATTTTTATATTCGGCAAGGAAAGGTGATGTAATCGGCATGATTGTGTTACGTTATACATACGTGTACATTATATTGTTTTATATTAGCCATTTTTTCCTCAGTTGGCTGACAGCGTTCATGCAAGATGTCTCGAAAGTGTGTAAACAATCCAGATCAGTTTTGTTACGTGCGTGGTGACTTTTGCGTATCAGAGACGGTCTATTACTCCACTAATAACAAAGGCATATCAGCTTTATTTCGGTTGTAAACTAGGTGATCAAGACAAACAGTGGGCACCCCACATCTGCTGTAATACATGTGCTTCAAGTCTGAGGAGCTGGTTAAATGGCAAAAAACGGTCCATGCGCTTTGCTGTCCCAATGGTTTGGAGAGAGCCTACAAATCATATTAATGATTGTTACTTTTACATGGTACCTTGTGCTGGACAAGCCACAGGTATGTCCAAGAAAAAAAAATCGGTTATTAACTACCCAAACATACCATCTGCGATGAGACCTGTGCCTCACAGTGACGAAAATCCTATTCCAAAACCCCCAGAATCCTACACCGCACAAAATAACACAGTCAGAGTTAAATGATCTTGTAAGAGATTTAGAACTTCCAAAATATAAGGCAGAGTTACTTGGATCAAGACTGCAGCAGTGGAACTTGTTAGAAGAAGATGTTTCGGTATGTGTTTTTCGTAAACGCCACAAAGACTTAGAACCATTTTTCAATATGGAGAATAACTTGGTTTTCTGCAGTAACATTAACGGCTTACTGGCGGCTTTAAATATAAACTATAACCCAGAAGAATGGAGATTGTTTATAGATAGTTCAACATTGAGTTTAAAGGCAGTGTTATTGCATATTGGAAATATTTTACCATCTCTTCCTGTAGGGTATGCAGTTCACATGGAAGAATCATATGACAATATGAAGTACCTATTCACATGCATAAAATACGATGAGCACCAATGGCATATTTGTGGCGATTTGAAAGTTGTTGCACTTTTACTTGGGCTGCAGCTAGGCTACACAAAGTTTTGCTGTTTTTTGTGTGAATGGGACAGTCGGGCAAAGGCACTTCATTACACCAGACAAAACTGGCCTGTTCGTCAATTCCTAGAGCCAGGTCAAAAAAATGTACAGCATATGCCATTAGTAGATTCGAAAAAAAATGTATTACCACCACTGCATATCAAGTTGGGCCTAATGAAAAACTTTGTCAAGGCATTAGATAGAGATGGGGCAGCTTTTCAATACCTGCGTCAGAAATTTCCAAGACTAAGTGAGGCAAAGGTTAAAGAAGGTATTTTTGTTGGGCCACAGATTCGAAATATTTTGAAAGATACACAGTTTGAAAACACTTTAACAGGTATTGAAAAAACTGCTTGGAATTATTTCCGTCTGGTGGTCACTAATTTCTTGGGAAATAGAAAAGCTGACGACTATAAAACCCTTGTCAAAAATATGCTGTCATCGTATCAACAGATGGGCTGTAATATGTCTCTTAAGAGACATTTCCTACACTCACACCTGGACTTTTTTCCTGACAATTGCGGAGCCGTAAGTGATGAGCACGGCGAACGTTTTCATCAGGATATTTCAACAATGGAAAAAAGGTACCAGGGAAAGTGGAATCCTTCCATGCTTGCAGACTACTGTTGGACTCTTGGTAGAGATGCTCCAGAAACGATCCATAAAAGAACAGCAAAAAGACAGCGC